TCTCTTTCAAGGACATTCACACAACTGCCACAGGCCCTCAAGTTCTCTTTTGAGCAGCTAAGCTGAATTAAGCACATCGTGTCTTTGTACATGGTCTACCCTGATCCTTCTAAGAAAATGATGCTATGATACTTCTGATAGATGGAAATTCCTGATAAATAGACTTGGCTCTCCTAAATTAATTGGTACTGAGTGACATTTAATCAAGGAAGACATAAATAACATATGAAAACCTGTACATTCTTTACCATAAGGGCTTGGTCAGCTGTAGATAACCCAAGCAGTCAGTCAGAAATCTCAAGACCATGCACATGGCTGTATTAACTCTTYTCTGGCTGGAAAGAGACTGGAGGAGCCACGAGAAGTAAAGGAGAAAATAGTCTTAATATGGAATAACAATGAGATTAATGCTGGTGAGACAACTGCACTAAGAATACAGAGACCCAGAACTTCAGAACATAAAAGTGGATTGATTTTAAGCACTGGAACTGTCTGACCAATGATGCCATTACTGATGCAAAACCATCTCTCAATAAAGAGCACCACAGGTAGGTGCACTCAGGTACAAGTTTGTACTTGTGGAGTTAAAACTGTGCCACAGACTTTGCTTCCTYCCACGAAGCCACGCTGATTTTTGACATAGATGCATTTAAAAATAAAATGTGTTTGGGGTTCAAACCCCAGTTTCCTGCTCAGTTTAGCACAGATTCAAGGCAGATGYACTGAAGAGCACTCCAAGCTGCCAAAGCCCTCCCTCTACAACAACACAGGCACATCAAAGAGACAAAAGCAGCCTGCAACACAAGAGTTGTTTTTTTCATAAACTAGACCCTAAGTTCTCTCCATCAAGGACAGCTCCTCTGTTTCTTTTCTCATCACAAAGAAATCTTGGAAAGCTTTTGATTTCTTTTGAGAGAAGCTCATGATGTGTCAGTCTAAGCRTGTAAATACTGAAATCAAGAAAACTACAGTAGTTTCCCCAAAGAGTAATAAAGAGGAAGAAAAGAGGGCAGGACAGGGTGGGAGGGARGATGAAGAGAGTGATGGTAAAAACAACTGAGAGGCCAAATTCACTGAAGAGTTAAGATTTAGTGCCCTCTGTTTTACACCAGTGTGGGTGAAAATCACTTTTAAGGGCTCTAATGAAAGTTGAAAGTTACCTTCAGAAAGTTATGCATATTTCAACAGAAATAAAAATCATTATGCATTCTCTCTAAAGAGGATACAATCTCAAACTGTCAAAATTCTAAACTCTTCTACATATATTACATACAAATGCCTTCTATAAAGAAACCTCTTTTCATTTTTCTTCTAAATTAGCTTAGTGGCCCATGGTATTACAGTACCTTGGTTTAGCCTGTGAATAATGTGACAGGTAATTTTTATACTTCTTGCTTGTACTTAAGTTTGAGTGAAGATACGGAAAACAACTTTTATGGTYTAGGTGTAAAAGTAAATGTTCTGTGAGTCCTGCATACCCAAACGTGGACATCTACTATGAAATGTTTCATGATGATAATGTGCCCATCAATAAATAATAATGACTAAAAAAGTGGTAAGTTGTTTTTTTTTTTTAAATAATATGCAGGTGCAGCATTTTTTTTCCCCAAACAAAATGATAATGCTAATGTTGATGTAACCTACTACATTATCCTGGAGGGGATTTAAGATTCTCTGTTATCAGACAGGAATCATTCTGTAATAGGATGCACTGAGAGGGATGAATAATATGCAGAAAATATGGGAAATCATCCAACTGTAATTTAAAAAGATGGATTCCTCATGAAACTGTTGACTGCACTGACAAAGAAATGGATGGTAACAGTTGATTTCCATCTTGAAAAAAAAACTCAAAATACACCTGTGCCAGCTTAARTTTGCAAGTGATGGAGCTCAAAACGTTGAAGAGTTCAATGATGTCTGAGTTACAACACTGAAGAAACAATAAAATCTCTCCGACTGAAAACATGGAAAACCCAGTTTATATTTTCTCTGCTACCCAAACATTAGGCAGCCAAGGCAAGGATCTTTTCCTCAGTCTTGGTGATGTATTTGTGCTCCAGCACTTCAGCAGTTACACAACAAACTGTGCTGGGGAAGACATAAAGTAAATTAACTTATAACTGTGAGGTTGGTCCTTTTCAGGGAAGAAACACAGCACTACGCTTTCAAACACAGGTCTTTGGATGTACAGTAATCATCATCTTAAATGGTGTAACTCCTCCTGAAAGCAAAATAATCAGCTGTACTAGGGAAGTCTGATCAGCTTGTCTCCTAACACATCACAAATCAGAATGTGAGCCTCATGTGCAGGAAAAGCCAATGCACCAGAGGTAAGGAGGAGAGGAAGGCTTTCTTCAGCAACTGAAAGAGAATCCTTGGAAATTGGGCCAATATCATGCTTTTTTTTTCCACTCGAGAAATTCTTCAAAGTTCACTTACTTCAAGACAAAAATGCTGCAYATTTTCTGCTAGTGAACAAACAAGCTGCATGTCACCCAGTGCATTTTTACAGCAGCGGCTGGATTCTCAGAATGCACTTTACCAGCTCACAGACCCGAGCACGGGCACTTTCCAGGCAGATTTCACCTCCCCGAGGCCGTGCTTCGCTGTGCTATGCCATTTCAAGCCAAGACAGTTTTACTCACTCTTCTGGCCTGAATGTTTCCTCTTACAACTTTTATTTGCTCGTATTTACTCCTCAGGTTCCTGTCAATGAAAGGCTTTTACAGCCTTCTCTCTGCGGAYGGGCAGCGCACCGACTGTGCAAGGAACACGTTTCTGAGGCTGACCCGGAGCTGCTGCTCTGCAGGCACAACACAAGCACAGGTCTTGGGCTTTTTAACTCCAAACCACGTTTTTTCAGGTGTGGAATAGCATCAGTTGTACCTGACAGTGCACGCTGCATGACAGGTGGGGAAAACAAACAACTAATGTGTATTCCAAAGGAAGAGAAATTCCTGAACAGGTCACAGCAGTGTGAGAGAGAGAGAGAGAGAGAGAAAAAGAAAACGACCTGGCAAAATTATACTCTACAAAAGGATGTCAAAACAGTCCATTTCTGAAACCTGTTTTCCCAAATCTTGTTTTACAATGAAGCTGACAAAGCTGAGGCATACTTTTAAAAAGCTGTGCGGAAACAAAGAAGCAAAAATCCCTCCCTGCAAACCAACAGATTATTATCAGTCCCTAACCTGCAYAACAGGAATTCCTACAATGTTTATTATTATAGCTGCAAACACACAGTAATTTGTCTGCCTTACAGTATCTGTCAATAAACAGAACCCACAATAAACAATGGCAAGAAGCAGTAAAGGATAAACAGATTGTTTGTCCGATAGAACATAGACAATGAGCCTATCTTCTGAAGGACTGCTAACAGCCCCRTACAATAAATAACAAAGACACAGCAAATAACCCAATTTAAACCAAATTTAATCATTCTGTGTAACTTCACTTCTAGGGAAAAATTCCATCCCCTTGCCAAGAGGAATTTACACATTTTTCCAAGCAGATTTATTTCTCACATAAAACAGATCTCGTGGGGACAAGGTCTCCTACAGTCTGAGAAGTGCAGTATGTCTACTTCAAGACTGCAGATTACACTTACCAAATTTATTTCTAGGAAATGATTTTTCAGGAAGGACAAAAGCTGCATTTTTAACAAAGAACCAAATTTACAGTGTCATGTTTAAGCAAATATRGAAATATTTTCTTTTGTGATTTTAATTACATTGATGAGTCATTCTGAGACAAAAATGCACATTAACAAGGTTAACTGAACATGAAGAATAACTTTGGATTAAAGGAGACAATAGCCAAGGGAACCTTCAGCCTTTATATTGTAAATGTTGCTGGGAAACACTCACTATTTTGATGTACTGAACTTTGCAGATTCTTTCTCATGCTCTACAGATTGTCTACACACAGACCTTGAATGAAAACTATGTGGAATAACTGCTAAGTGACAATAAAAATTCTTCTGGACCACAAGCCTGTCATAAACATTGCACTCACACCTCTTCTGCCTTCAGATTTCCCTTACAGCCTTTACCTTGTGTTTAATCTGAAATAGAAAACTCAGCCTAATAGGTGCCATGATGTTTAGAGACAGAAGTCTCCTTGTGTATAAAAATTCCTGAATTAATCTGTTTTAATACACACACCAACRACAGCAATGCTGTATTTGGCACATCTCTGCTTTGTTTTGTAGATGTGAAAGGGAAGCATTCAGTGTCAGGACAATTCCAGCTCAACCCAGCCTCAGCATTGTTCCCCAGCTGGAAAGATGTGAGCACAGGAGATGAGCACAGTGCAAGAGGGGAAATGAGGGAATGTGAAGTCAGTTCATCACTAAATTTACACAAAACCACACCCCTTTTCTCATGCCTACTGTTACCTTGAAATAACAAGATCCTCAGCTAACCAATGGAGGATGTCCAGCTGCAAATAAATCTACAGCACTGAAGGCTGCGCAAGGACAAAATTCCCAAACAATTTATTTGTGTCCAATTCCAACCTGAACCCCAAACAGCATAAAATGCTTCCTCCACCCTCCTTGCAGAGGCTGATGGACTGTAAAAGAACACGGTGTCTGGAACACTAATCAATGCTACCATGTTTACACCAGAGAATTGCACTTTGCTCATGGTATGAAAATGGATATAAAATTCTTTTGGAAGGCTGTCTTGTGCTACTGCGAAATTAAAAAACAAACATCAATACCTGTTTCCTCTATGTTCAAAACAGTCCGAAAMGTTGGGCTAGATAAAACTATCAGCAATATTAACATTTTTAACACAAGGTCCTCCAATTTGTATCWGTTTCTTTGAATACCATATCCCTACAAAACCAGTCACTTTGAAGCTCTGTGCCAGTCCTCTGAAAACCTAAATAAACACACTTAGAGGAGATAACTTTCCACTACAACAGGATATAAGCTGGCAAAACATAATTCTATCTTCCTCTGTTTTCAGTTTGTCATTTTTAGTCATAGGTACCTCTGAAGCTTTGGTGTCCTCATAGGAAAACTGCGTGGCAGGAACTCCGAGGTGGTTGATGAAATAGTCTGAATCTCCCTGCATCTGCACAGAACTCACATTGGATCCTGGACATCTAGACTTCTCCACACAGTTGAAGCTCTGGCTCTGAAAAAACAAACAAACAAACAAACAAATCAAATTTCTACTTCATTACTGGCAATCTGACTATCAAAGACTTGTAGTGATACCTCATTTAAACTGCATTCTTTGGGTTGAAGCATCTTGAATATAGCAGAAAATGAAGTTTTGCTGCAACACGGCTGAGTCCTTCAGAGGACAAGGAAATTCTTATCTAATTGGGGTGGGAGGAGAGGCAAGAGAAGAATCAAGACACATCAAATGTCTCATATTGAGATCAGAGGGCATCACGATGCCTTTTAGAAAATTTTGAGGTCTTTAATGGCTACTAAAGAATAAATTTTTTAAATTCAGCTAATAGCATGCTCTGCCTCAACAAAAAGCTGCATGAGATTATCATATTCAATCTATCTAAGGTCTATGAAATGCTGGCAATGTAAAGTATTCCCCACAATTACAAAGTAGGGTTTAAGAAAAAAAAAAAAAAGAGTAAAAAGGTTAGAGATATGTAAAACACATTTTCTGTGCAAGTTGCTTCAAAAAATTCTAGTCAGTTGAAATCTTTGTATTTCTTTCACGTAAGTATTTAATGGTGAAATCTTAGCAAGAGAACTGTAATAAATATGGAAACTGGAAATCAAGTCCAGACTGAGTGCTACATACTTGTGCAGCTTTTAAATCCATCAGGTAATTAAACACTTAATAAACAGTAGGCGTAAAGGCTTTCAACATCTATTATAGCAAATAAGCTACTTAGCTTTCTTTTCAAGAATATTAAGAAGTTGAAGTACTGGAGATTATTTGCATTTAGCTAACAGTTYATATAATATAACGTAACTTCCTCACCTCTACCAACAAAATTACAGGCTTTATAAAAGAATAGCYTAAGATTGGTTCTACTTTAACACGAAAATACAGCAAATTCTGTACATTAAAGTCTCYGAGGTTATCAGGAAAATGTTAGACAGAGACAAATCTTGGTATTTTCCCAATTCAAAATTAGCATAATTATTGCTTCACAGTTTCATTTCAGTGCTATGAAGAATGCAATTGCGTATTATACAGTTTAAATAAAGGCTGCAGAGTCTCACAGAAAATTATTTTAAAATATCTTCAAACAAATAGCTTCCATTTCATAAGTAATTTTGAAAGGTGGTTGCATTCTTCCTTTTTTATTTTTTTTTATTTAATCTGCTAAAAGTTTCTGCTCCTGCCACTCTTACATTCTTCCGTACATCCACAATTGTTCACGGTCCATTCAAAAAGAAGAAACAGCAGAAACCCAAACTTGTATAAAACATGTTTTTAATAACCACACTTGTATCTTCTACAGTCTTTTCCACTCAAACCCACTGGCAGAGCACACAAAAAGCCATATTTATGATTTTATGCATATCTGTCTATATAGGACCCATTGCTCCTTCCAGGAATTATCATGAATTTTAAGATCACYCAGTGCTCTACACTGCAGCACAGATCAGACTCTCCTCACTTCCCACTGCCCACCAGAGCTGGTCAAATTTCATAAATGATGAGTAGCCTGCTCTTCCTTTAATGTTTAAAGGCTTCCTTTAATGTTTAAGGTGAAATTCAGCTTTTGAAAGTTAATTCTGAGTGTCCACCAACCCTATTTATACCAGCCCATCAGGAGCTGAAGAGATATCTTCCTATAGCAACAATGAAATTATTTTTCCTTATGCATGAAAGTTCATATGAARTGTTTACAGATTTTGTTGAGCGTTATAAAATATGGTATTTTGGGGGGTTTTACATCACCATCCTTGATGGTATAGGACTAATATTTTTATGATGGCAGTGTTCAGTTCAACAGTATAGCATTTTGGGAGTTTAACTGCTTTATTCCACTTTCACTATTGTGACACACATTTTTAAATGTATCTATAACTAATTATCAGCACCACACCACTAACTCTCTGATGCAGAGTAGCCAAACTTTGTTTCTTCAGCTGCTTAGCCTTACAGGAAAAACAAAAAGCTGTATTTTGAGCACTCAGCTGCTCAGCCTGGGCTCCAYCGTGTCACTCAAACCCTCCCTTCAGACTGGAGCAAATATGATATTCGTAATCAAATAATTTTATTTCTCTGGAGCTCATTTTGGGTTTTAGCACCMTGGTACAGGTTTATGTTACAAATTTGAGGAAGTGAAGAGCGCCATATGGCCAATTAAATACATTTAATTTGAGTTAATGTTCTAAAATGGATCTGACACTTTTAAAGYATAATCAAGTGGTACTTCACTGCAGATCTTATTAGTTAGTTCTGGTTGCTACTTTTCCTCACTTSACTCCAGCTGAAGTTAAAACATCACCTTTTGAAAAAGGATTAAAACATCTAAGGAGCTTTCAACAGGGCAAATAAAGAATGACCAGTTTTTCTTACAACATATCAGTGATCCCAGCTTCAGAACTACAACAAGGAAGTTTATTCTTCATTAATAGGCTGGGTTATTATATAGTGTATATAAATATATATACACACATATATAATATGTATATATCTATTTTATGTAGATAAAAATGTATAGTGTTAGGGACAGGTGCAAAGCAGATCCATTTAAGGACCTGAAGAGTGAGACCAGCCAGATGAAGTAAAATTATCTGAAGAAAGAGCTACAGGATTTCTTAAATTCAACATAGACCTTGCAAAAATGCAGAAATCAAGAGATTAGCATCTTTACTACTGTAACCATGTAAATCAACAACAACAGGTAGTAAAGGCCAGGGAAGGTGCACAGGAGAGGAGTCACAGGTCTGTGTCTCTCAGCTACAAACACCTGCTATGCCCTGGCAAACAGATCATTAGAGGCAGGAGGCTTGGTGGTTCTTAAAAACATTATCAGATGACTGTCAAAGGCTATTGAAAAAAAATCACAGAGCTCCTAGGAATTGCATTAATTCTATGRCAAGCATAYTTCTCTGTTTTCTCCCAGCTGAGTRCCAGGTTTGGCTATAAACACCCTGTTCTATGTTCTGTCTTTATTGATTGATCATATATATTGCTATATATATTATATATATATTCCTTTATATATATTGCTGTTAATGCAAATCAGCCCTTCAGAAAATTATAGGKAGATTTAATGTGGCATTTCACCCTACAGCACTCAAAGTGCTTTTCAAATCAACTAAAGACAAGCAAGGTACCTAATATTTCTGTCTTGCCCAACATCACAGAGCAAAACAACTACATAAAAATTAAATACACATCATTTCCCCAATTTTGAGCCTTATCAAACTGACATGACTGAAGTAGGTACATATAAAAATAATTCTAAATCATATTCAGTCATTCTTTCTCAGGGCAAGCAAAGAAAATCTCAGTGTGCTGGTGATAATTAATATGCTATAGATGGAGAGTAGTTGTGGTTTAAATATCCTGGATGTTACACACCACTGATGTGATGTATTTGCCTATTTATACAATGCAATCATTTGATKACCTGATTAAAACTACACCACGAAATCTTATGAGGTAGAGTAACTAAAGCTTGCTGCATTTAATTAATATTATATTAGGATTAGAATAATTAATTACAAAATGAATAAAATGTTGGTTCCTTAGTTTCTTACCAATTTTTCCTTCCCACTCAAACATATTTTCATTTAAACATGGATGAAGYTTTACTAGAAACATTAAAACCTGAACATTATTTATTGACCTTTAAGGGCAACATAAACACTCTGTAAAATTTTGCAGAACTGCAAAATCAGTCACAGAAAAGAGGAATTTAACTCTCAGAGACTGCCCCTAGTTGGAGTTCTTCAGTATGACCACAGTAAAGTGAGAGATGTTCCCTGCACATGCACATATTCCACTGAGAGGAGAAAAAAAACAGAGAAAAACAACTCCCCCAAGAATTATGTTCATTTACAGCCATCAGGGACAAGGAATTCAATATATTCTGAAATCTCTCTGATATTTATGACAGAGCAGGTGATTCTCAGATCACTACAGGGATCACGTCAGACATTTAAAATTCCCCCCTCACCAAATTAATCTGTGTTTTCTTTACACAAAAGCACCAGACCTGGAAATTCCAAGAGTAAACTGTTTGTTAGGCTGTGCAGGAAGGCAGTGCTTCATCTTCACATGAAAAAAATTGCCGTTTAGATAATTTAAAATAATTGTTCTTTGAAAAGGCCTGCAGGTATTCTGCATGACAGAAAAGGCCTTTTTCACCCAGAGCGGAAGAGGATCCTGAAAATGGTGATAAACACAATATTTCCAAAAGGTCAGGTCAAACCAAGATGAGCCAAGACCCAGTTCCGATATTTTATTCAGATTTCTACTGAACCAAGGAAAAGTCAGTTTACCCAAACAAGATAAGCTGCCAAAAATAAAACTCCAGTTGTACCTTTCAAAGTTGCCTGAAGTAAATTTTGCATTTTRATAGTGACTTCCTAAAACAATTGAGAAATTACAATACCAACGGTTATAAAACAAAGCATGGATAAATACCTGTGCTTGGAGCAAAAAAAATTAAATATATTGTTGTGTTCTACTACTTTGCAAACTGGAGGGTTTTTTAATTTAGTTTACGGCAAGAACACATGAGACAAACTTAATCCTGTTATTTCTTGTTCAGGGTTTTGGTTTCTGTTAAGCAGAATTTGCATACTTTTAAATAATTGTCTTATCTTTCAAAAAAAATATGACCATCAGTGTAAGGTCTTTATAAMTAATGGTACCTCACAGGACTTAATGACATTTTAGATGCAAAGTTTACATCAAACTGGTAAGAAATACAAAAGCAAGGTAGTAAAGAATTATATAGTGTAAATTTAATTTTCTATCCTGCAGTTTTTCTACATTTATCTACTGACAGCCTCCCTCTAATTCCTGATGCTTGTTATATGATTCTGAATTACATTTATCCTTCCTGTACCCAAAYTGAAGTCCTATGCCTCGTTGAGTCATGGACCTGTTGCCAACACCCAGTACACACTGCTAGGAATTTTAATGGCTTTTTTAAGGAAGGTAAAAATCAAGCAGGTATGTTCCCATTT